ATAGTCCCCGTGCGATTGGCGACGATGACTTTTTAGGAGATTTTTAGCGTCGTGCTACGTAAAATGCCGAAAAACACCCAAAATCAAAGTCGAATTTTGCGTTCCTTTTGAAGCAGAGGACCGATTTAGAGCGTGCCCTTGCGATCCCGCATAGTCCCAGTGCGATTGGGGACGATGACTTTTGAGGAGATTCTTTAGCGTCGTGCTACGTGAAGTGCCGAAAACACGAAAAGTCAAAGTGGAAATTTTGCGTTCCTTTTTAAGCAAAGGACCGATTTAGAGCGTGCCCCTTTCGATCCCGCATAGTCCCAGTGCGATTGGCGACGATGACTTTTGAGAGATTCTTTAGCGTCGTGCTACGTGAAGTGCCGAAGCACACAAAGGGCAAAGTCGAATTTTGCGTTTCTATTGAAGCAGAGGACCGATTTAGAGCGTCCCTTGCGATCCTGCATGGTTCCCCGTGCGATTGGCGACGATGACTCTTTAGGAGATTCTTTAGCGTCGTTCTACGTGAAGTGCCGAAACACGAAAAATCAAAGGAATTTTGCGTTCCTTTTTAAGCAGAGGACCGATTTAGAGCGTGCCCTTGCGATCCCGCATAGTCCCAGTGCGATTGGCGACGATGACTTTTGAGGAGATTCTTTAGCGTCGTGCTACGTGAAGTGCCGAAACACACAAAGTCAAAGTCGAATTTCGCGTTCCTTTTGAAGCAGAGGACCGATTTAAACGGCCCTTGCGTTTCCCCCATAGTCCCAGTGCGATTGGGGACGATGACTTTTGAGGAGAAATTTTTTAGCGTCGTGCTACGTGAAGTGCCGAAAAACAAAGTCAAAGTCGAATTTCGCGTTCCTTTTTAAGCAGAGGACCGATTTAGAGCGTGCCCTTGCGATCCCGCATAGTCCCAGTGCGATTTGGGGACGATGACTTTGAGGAGATTCTTTAGCGTCGTGCTACGTGAAAGCCGCGAACACGAACAGTCAATGAAAAATTTCGCGTTCCTTTTTAAGCAGAGGACCGATTTAGAGCGTGCCCTTGCGATCCCGCATAATCCCAGTGCGATAGGCGACGATGACCCTTTTTAGGAGATTCTTTAGCGTCGTGCTACGTGAAGTGCCGAAAAAACGAAAGTCAAAGGGGAATTTTGCGTTCCTTTTGAAGCGAAAGGGCCGATTTAGAGCGTGCCCTTGCGATCCCGCATTGTCCCCTGCAAATTTGGGGACGATGACTTTTGAGGAAAATTCTTTGCGTCGTGCTACGTGAAGTGCCCAAAAGCACACAAAGTCAAAGTCGTATTTCGCTTTTATTGAAGCAGAGGACCGATTTAGAGCGTCCCCTTTCGATCCTGCATGGGTTTCCCGTGCGATTGGCGACGATGACTCTTTAGGAGATTCTTTAGCGTCGTTCTACGTGAAGTGCCGCAAACACGAACAGTCAATGAAGAAGTTCGCGTTCCTTTTGAAGCAGAGGACCGATTTAGAGCGTGCCGTTGCGATCCCGCATAGTCCCAGTGCGATTGGCGACGATGACCTGTGAGGAGATTCTTTAGCATCGAGCTATGTAAAGTGCCGAAAGCACGCAAAGTCAAAGTCGAATTTTGCGTTCCTTTTGAAGCAGAGGACCGATTTAGAGCGTGCCTTGCGATCCCGCATAGTCCCAGTGCGATTGGCGACGATGACTTTTGAGGAGATTCTTTAGCTTTGTGCTACGTGAAGTGCCGATTGCACACAAAGCCAAAGTCGAATTTCGCGTTCCTTTTGAAGCAGATGACCGATTAAGAGCGCGCCCTTGCGTTCCCGCATAGTCCCAGTGCGATTAGCGACGATGACTTTCGAGGGAATTCTTTAGCATCGTGCCACGTGAAGTGCCGAAATAACACAATGTCAAAGTCGAATTTCGCGTTCCTTTTGAAGCAGAGGACCGATTTAGTGCGTGCCCTTGCGATCCCGCAGAGTCCCGGTGCGATGGCGACGATGACTCTTGAGGAGATACTTTAGCGTCGTGCTAAGTGAAGTGCCGCAAACACGAACAGTCAAGGTGGAAGTTCGCGTTCCTTTTGAAGCGAAGGACCGATTTAGAGCGTGCCCTTGCGATCCCGCATTGTCCCAATGCAATTGGCGACGATGACACTCGAGAAGATTCTTTCGCGTCGTGCTACGTGAAGTGCTGAAAGCACACAAAGTCAAAGTCGTATTTCGCCTTTCTATTGAAGCAGAGGACCGATTTAGAGCGTACACTCTGCCAAAAATGTCCTGTAAATGCCGTTAATTTATTACCAGTTTTCACTGTAGGTCAATTCACAGCGTTTACTGAGAACTGCTCACGGGATTCACTGTGATCTTGTTCGCGGTGTTCACTGTGATCTGGTACCCAGTAAACACTGTGAGTTTGACGCCGCTGAGCACCGCAGGACTGCAAATCAGGCTCCAATTCACGGCGTTTACTGTGGCCAGATCACAGTGAACACTGTAACCGAGATCACAGTGAACGCCGTGAACTAGTTCACAGCAAACGCCGTGAATTGCATAACAGCAAACATTGGTAATAAATCAGTGGCGAAGCGGAAAAAGGGGATAAGTCGAAAAACACGATTTTTCAGGAGAGGCGAAAAACATGTTCCCGTATAATATTCTATACTTCGGGTGCGCCATCTTGTTCGCTTTGCAATGCTGATCAACGTAGAAAAAGTCATTTCAACAAAGCGTTAATGGTTTTGTAGATATGTCAAGACTCTGACTTATCTCGTTTGGTCGCGCCGGTCAAAACGAGACAAGTCGACTTGTCCCACTGCCCACTCACGCACCCAACGAGTTATTTCGACTTATCTTTCCGGACCTGAGAGCACTTGGAGCTATGTCGACTTATCCTCTGCGCATTCACGCGCTGAAAGAGTTAAGTCGACTTAACTCTCTGAAGCTTAAGGTTTTTAGGGACATGTCGACTTGTCCCTTGTACACTCATGCACTCTATGAGCTAAGTTGACTTATCTCTCGGGTGTTTTTCCCCGTTGGGGTTATGTCGATTTGTCCCCTTTAGCAAATAAAATTGTTTGAAAGATTAGGAGATAAGTCGCGTGTGTTTTGGGTACGAGGAACTAGAAGCAATTCGTTAGAGGAAAACAATGCTCCTCAATTTTAGTCAAAGATTACCGTGTGTTTCTTTAAAAATTTCTAAGTACTGCAATGCGAAAGAGTGACAGTTCACCTGCCAAAAAGAAGGAAAAAACAAGCTTAACGTGACACATTTTTTAAAATTAAATTGTCTAACATAATGCATTATTGAACATGCCTTATATTTAGATATTGCAAAGACACTGCAAAGCCAGTGGTAAGTTTGCTTGCCACAAATTTGGCAAGCCGTTTTGAATGCCAAAATTTGGCAAGCTTTGGTCGGCACTCGTCATAAGCTTGCCAAATTTTGGCAAGCTGAGGAGTAATTCCGGGCTGGGGAGTATTTCCGGGCCAAGTTTGCCAATTTTTTGCACTCAAAACGGCTTGCCAAATCCGTGGCAAGTAAACTTACTACTGGGATGACAGTGTAACCTGCAGACATATGCATTCAATCAACTGACTTTGAAGTATGTGTATTTTCTGGGGCACGCAAGCCTTGTGTTTAGTATCAATTTCCTTCTTACACCACAAGGCTGCGCAGATGGCCAATCACATTTAAAAATATAAATATAGTACTCTTTAAACAGTTGTTGCCGGTACTGGGGCGGGGGGACTCGGCGCAGCGTTCTGTCGCGGTAGCAGCCGTGCGCCGTAATTTGACACTGCGAGATAAGCCCGCCGCGCGCCGCGCTCTCCCGCCCGGCCGGCCTGCTCGGTGCGTGTCTGAGTGTCACCAGTTTGTCCGACAGGCCAGCAGGCGGGGAGACAGGGTCGAGAGTCTCTAGGTCGTCTATCTGGTATGGGTCTGGAGCCATGTAATTATGTTTTATTTAATTTATGATAGTTTTGGGTTTTACTTTGCCCTTTGTGTTAGTTTAAACTTTGTAAAAAATAGACTGTTACACCAATTTGAACAAATTTCATTGCCATCGAATGTTGTTGATTTCGGCGAGGACCGCCTGCTGAAGGCAGAGGTCTCCCCGCCTGCTGGCCTGGCCGGGGGAAATAAGGGACCGGTCCCCAGTGGCCGCGTCCCCCTTGCCACTCCACCCGCCGCGCTTCGCCTGGCCGTCCTGACGGCGCTCTCGGTGCGTGTCTGCGTGTCGCCAGCGTGTCAAACTGTCTTCCGATTCATACCGCACCGCTCAGCATTTCGCGTCTCGAGACCAGCTTGCCGGGCCTGCGGGGCCACGGCTGCCGGCCGCGCGTATGGTGGAAGCGCGTACCGAATGGAAGACCAAAACGATAATTTTATTTAGGTGGTAACAAGGTGGCTTCTAGTCAAGTTATTAATGTTCAATACAGTTGATTACAGCTCAACAGAGAAATTTTGTTCAAGCGCCTACCTCTATTTGCCTCGGGCAGTCACCGCGTTAAAAATTTAT